GTCTGGGTGCATGTCAACCATTTTGTTGCTTGCCATTTCTATTTTAAGCTTGTGTTTCCTGGCATCAGTATGAATATAGGATCAGGCTGGTGAATGACATCAAGGGTACCCTTCTTTCCATACTACCATATTCTCAACTCTGTCTCTGTCTCTCTCTGTCTGTCTGTCTGTCTCTCTCTCTCTCTCTCTCTCTCTCTCTCTCTCTGTGTGTGTGTGTGTGTGTGTGTGTGTATTTGCACAAGCATCTTAAATTCCATCCTTTGGTAACTGAACAGCACACTAGATTCACAATTTGCCATCAAAAACAAGAAATAATATTAATTTGCTTGATTGATTTGTCCATTTTTCCAATAGTCCTCCCAGCATGGGAAAAGGACTCCTCCATGAATGCATATTCTGTGTGTGCACAGGCATGTCCACAGGCACATACATATGCCGCCCTACAGCTCTGTTTCAAAACTCCTTTTCTTTTGAATGTATTTTTCAAAGTTCTGCCTAATAATTGTGGATTGTATCTAGAGGCCCACTTGCTAAAAGCAGGTTGAGTCATAAGCAGGTTGTACAAGTCCAGGAAACCTGCAGCGATGACTAAGAGAGTCATTATTTGATAAAAGGGGAAAAAATAGGTATTGGTTTGAAAGAAAGGCTGGGGGAGCATGAAGAACTTCTTGAACAGGGAAAAAAACACTTAGACTCTAGCTGGCAGGATGAGTGGGGGCCGGAGAGAGACAGTCTTGTGCAGTAAGACTTGCTGCTGCATTTTAATCACATCTCTATGTGACTAGGTTTTTTTCCTCTTTCTGTTTTTTTCTCATCAAGCAGGAAAGGACACAGAGGGGATTCAGCAGTAGACTGGCTCTTTCAACTTTGTACTTTACTCGGCCCCTGTCCCTGCACATTTTAAAATTGACATCTGGAAATTCTTTTCAGCCTGAGTTCAAATAGATGTACACACTGTATACTTTCTCTAACCTTGTAAATATTGACAGTTTAAAATTAAACTCTTGCATCATTCTTTGAACATCTTCAGCAGCTTCCACCTGGGTATGATCATGGTTTAACACATACCATCAGGTATTAAAATATAGATGGACAGATTCATAATAGTCGGGTATTTACCACCAACATTTGACTTTATTTCTGAAAGGCATACTCAATTTCCCTATGCCTACAGCATTTTATCATAATGCCAAACATATTTTTACACTTGAAAAATTTCTCTTGATAATTCTAGTATGAGTCTTAACAAAAATATATTTCTAAAATGTAATTTCAATAAAACCTGCTGTTGCCAGAAGCCCCCAAATTGTTAAATATCTATTTAAGTAGTTGCTCAGCTACTAAGTAGCAAATTATTAATTAGAACAGGGGACAATACCCTAGGCTCTATGTCTTAAGTACTTTCTTCTTCCATGCTCTGGAATCTCACAGAGGAAAATGATGAGAGTCTTACTAAAATTCAAGTAAACTGATAAGTAGAACTTTCTTTTGCACATTTGGAAGAAGGAATGTGAATGAGGCTAGAAATAGAGCTTGAATAATTCCTCCACCCCAGTCACATTAATAGCACATTGATTATCCAGCAACATCTATATGAAAATTGGAAATTCTCCATGTCTGTGTACCGGTAGGGCAAGGTGCCTTTAAAACAACACCATTTGTATTTTTGATTGTCTTGTGTGCACTATAGAGGCCTGAGCAAGATGTCTGGCATCTATCCCTAGATGACAATAGTAGTACCCTTCCAGGTTGTGACAACCCCAAATATAGGAAAATATTTCCAAACATTCCAGCCATGTAAAAACAAGTTTGAAGATTGATTGTTTATTGAGCTTGTTAAGAATATAAAAAAATAATATTGAATCAAATATGGTATTTTGGTTCTGTGAATGAAGGAAAGTCTGTACACTTTGATTTAATTTCCCTTTCTATATAAGGGGGTAGTTGTTGAGTCCATGAAGAAAATGTGCGTTTGGAACCCTCTCAAAGGTATTTGGACCTGTCTATTCATTGAGTCTTACATGAACCCAAATCTACTGTGAATAAACTAGAAGTAATGCTACTTAAGAATGTGAAATTTTTCTGCTGGTTATTGCAACTCTGGGTGAGTCCATCATTATGTTATGTCATAATGTATGTTCACATAAACTGACATGGTCATAGCATTACTAGATACTATAGTCTTATGGGACCACCACCATGTATGTAGACTCCTACCTATTGATTGAGTTGTCTCTACAAAGAACACAAAATATTGGGCTACTACAGATGAGAAACAAATGGAAAGGATGAAGTTACTAACAATAGATATAATAATGAAATCTATTCACTTTGTGCCAAATGTACATTTGAAGATATATAAGAGGTCCTGTGAAGCTTTCTAGTTAATATATGAGGACACAGAGACACACTGAACATACCTAAGTGTTCCAGGGTCCCATGTGGGAATGTTGTTGAGATATGAACACAGTTCTATTTTGCTCAAGAGACAAAGTCTTATTCATCCTATCATATGCTCTCATCAAATTATAAAGGAAGTATTCATTGTGTCTTCTCCCTGCTAGGCAACATTCTAAGAAATGAGGATTCATTAGTGAATAAAAGAGAGACATTCCTGCTTTCACAGATCATGCTTTAGAAAAGCAAATTATTAGAATTAAGTTTAATGTATTAATATTATATGGTGTGTATGATAAGTAATACAAGCAAAAAAAGAGTTCATGAAGAAGGGAAGGTGGCAGCAGAATTGGGTAGAGATTTGTTGCTAAAAGAAATGGTTAATGATGGCCTCACTTTTGAAAAAACCATGGAGAATGATACTCAGCCAAAGCTTTTGAGGAGGAGGCAGGAGCCTGTGCTGGACATCCAATGAAAACCCTGAGTTCCTCCTCAAAAAGGAGGTTGAACCAAAGGTCAGGAGCTGGACCAGAACAGGAACCAAAAGAACAAAGAGAGCAGTGTGGGTGCCCTCAGCTTGTGTGTGGTGAGGAACTGGTACAGAATGGATATGGAAGAAGAAGGCTGGCTAAAAGGTACAAGAGCACTGTGGAGAGCTTGCCTTTTAACTCTTTTAGAGAAAAATTTTCTAAAATCCCTTTGCACAAAAACATAGAACACATACTCAGACAAACACACTTGTAAATTATAGTAGGCACTATGTCTTAATTGTATGGTGGAAAGACCATGCCTGTTGGAGTCACACAGGACTGTGCATATCCACTCTGCTGCATGTTCATTTGATGATTCAGAAAAATTTTTTGTATTGTTGTGACATGATCTGTTGCATGTTTTCTAAATGGCAAACACTTTATATACACGATCTCATCAAAGCCTTGTATAGTTACATAAGTTTATACTAATAGCATTTGAAATTATGTGTAGGTTAAATTAAGTGTTAAAATTAAGTGTGATAGCTAATAGTTAAGAAGCAATAATAGGATCTGTGTGATGTCTCAGTGGATTAGGGCCCTTGCCGGTAAGCACAATGACCTGATTTTGATTCCTAGGACTCACGAGGTAGAGGGAGAGAACAGACTTCCATAAATTGTCCCTGGATTTGCACACATGTGCTGTGGTACCTGCTCATAAAACATATAATTTTCCTTCTATGCATTTTATTGCTTTTTAAATTTCCACTCTATTGTGATTAGTAATAGTTAATCTTTCTGTGGGGATGTTTTCTAAATACTTTCTCCATGCAATCAAAAATCTTCAATGCTTATTTAGCATTGCTAGTGTGTCAGATATTCCTCCAATCACATGTACTGCTCAAATGAGACAACTGAGGGTCAAGAGAGGTAAAGGATCTTGTCTGCTGTTACAGAGCCAATACATTGAGAGCATGTGATGGGATTCAGGTAGTGTTGCTTCACCATTATACCAACACTGCCTTGCCAATCAGATCAATAACCAGGTTGTGGGGAAAATATTACCTCCTTTTCTATTATTGCTGATACATATGGAAAGCCTGTTTTTTTTTTTTTAGATCTTGTGACCAAACCCATAGTCATTTTTTTCAAATGTCAGCCAATTCTTGTGGAGCAATATTTCAATTGACTTCATAAAGCCAAATTTGAAGTAAGAACAAAGGTTAAATATGTGCCTTTTCTCTTTGAATATGTGAATGAATCAAAATGTATTTGTACTTGTATGTGCATGCATGCATGTGCTTGTTTTAATACGTGTGTAATAGGAATCTAAGTGTTAGTTTAAAGTGTCATCTTCTAGACTTGCTTCCCAAGTGCAAATCCAAGCATTTTATGAGGAAATAGTTAAAGATAAAAATCCTTGGAACTGGAAGTGAGTAATAGAGGCACATTGTATGAAATTTCTGAATAATTAATAAAATATTGTTGTGTTGGGGAAAAATAAAAAATCCATATTCTCCTTTAGGGTATACACCTAGTTTTCTACAACATAGTCTCTCGAGCAACTGTACCAGGGATGATGCTTGCAAACAAGCATGGATGGTCCTACAGCATTGATGGAATGTTTCTCTGCAACTGTCATGGTATTTCACCCCTTATTTCATGCTTTACTCAAGACGGCCACAAATATGAACTACTGTGATGGTCACCATTTCTTGGAATTGTCAATATCTGACAAGTATTTTCCGTGAATATCTTCTGTGCAAGCAACAGATTCTAATCATGGTCTCTATGTATCTTCTTTGAATGTGACGTTGAGAATATCAGCTTGCAATTTAGATTTAGAGGTATTAACATGATCACAGCATAATTTTTTTTCTTTAGGGTGGGGAATAGATTTTCATTAATCTCTTCTTTCTATTTGGACTCCTCATTCTTGTTTCATATTCTGCTCAGATGACAGACCAGTTGATTTCTAGAAACAGTTTCCCAAAAGCAAAGTTAATTGGCTTTGATGAGAACCAGAGTCAAAGAAACAGCCCAGTCAGTGTAGACATGGATCAGATGAGGCATCTAAGTGGTAGAGTGATCTGACATACTGCTATGGAGAAACTAAGACTGTCTCAGGAACAAATGCCTGCAGTGGGACAAGGAACTACCACCATGGTGGTAACTGAGAATTTTTTCTAGTAGGATTTGGAGACCTCAAGAGACTGAACCCCTTGCTCTTCCTGGTATTTGCTGTTGTCTATGTAGTCACAGTTTCTGGCAACCTTCTTCTTGTGGTGCTGGTATGCACCCAACAAGGACTCCAGACTCCAAAGTACTTCTTTCTAGCGAACTTTTCATGCCTGGAGGTCTGTTATACATCTAACATTTTACCCCGGATGCTGGTAGACTTACTGCAGGAAGATAGGGCAATCTCCATGGTAGGCTGTATAATTCAGCTGTACTTCTTTGGGGCCCTAGGAAGTACTGAATGTTATCTTCTGGCAGTAATGCCATATGACTGGTACTTGGCTGTCTGTTGGCCTTTGCACTATTTAACGCTGTTACATGGAACCCTAACTGTGGGGCTCACAATTGCCTCATGGCTTTGTGGCTTCTCAGCTGCAGTCTTCCAGGCTGCTATGCTATCTAGCTTGACTTTCTGTAGAGGCAATTATATTGACCATTTCTTCTGGGACTTGAAACCTCTGCAGAAGCTCTCCTGCTCTGATCCCGATCTCGTTAACTTAGTCTGCATGAGTCTAACATCCTTGGTAACCTTAGTCCCCTTTGGCCTCATTTTAGCCTCCTACTGGAAGATTCTTTCTGTGATCTTACATATACCTTCCATTATTGGCAAGCAAAAGGCATTCTCCTCTTCTTCTAATCTAGTAGTTGGGACTTTGTTTTATGGGACTTTAATCTTGGTGTATGCTGTGCCCTTGGCTGGCCAGGTGTTGGCTCTTAATAAGACCTTCTCCTTGTTCTATACTGTTGTCAATCCGACGTGTAACCCTCTTATTTATAGCCCCCAAAACAATAATGTCAAGGAGGCTCTGAAAAAAAAATTAAGAATTTGATTATATAATCTTAGCTTTACTTAAACAATTGAAGTGATAGCATTCTGAAGCAAAACTAATCTTCCAATCACCCAGGAAGTCTTAGTGAGACTAACATAATATAGTAGATTATTATTATTATTATTATTATTATAACTCCAAATACTTGATAAGTCCCCAATCACTACTTTATGGAAGAATTTTTTTCCAATATACTTGGAAAAATCTAGTTTCCTTGAGCATATTTACACTGCTCAAGGAAGGAATGCATAGGAAGGTACATAATATGTAATTAATGTTACTAAGAGCACAACCTGGGAAGCAAAAACTGATTTTTATTTGTTTCATTTATAATAATTGAAATGTAATGTTAGAACCAATTAATATGTACAATTAATGAATGTTAATAAATTTAAAAAGTGACAGTTCTTATTTTGTTTCTATTGAGGCTATACTGTTTTTTGATTTTTTTTTTAATTGGTGGAAAATTTAATAGGTCTACACAGTGAATATTGGCCATTTTCAACCCTATACACCTCTCTCATACTTTTTTCCCTCATTTTTAAATTTTTAAAATTTTTATTTATTTTCCATAATAACTAGTATTGCCCCCTCCTCTTCTCATGTTACCTTCCACTACCTACTTGTGACCCCCTCCATTCACTCTTTCTTCCTCTGTCTCCACTCACAAAACCTGTAAGGCCTCCCATGGCAGTCAACAAAGCCTGGCATATCAAGCTGAGGCAGGACAAAGCTCCTCTCCCTTACATCAAGGCTGGGCAAGGTATCCCACCATAGGGAGTATGTCCCAAAAAGACAGCTCATGTGTCAATGACAGGACCTGGTCCTACTGCTAGGGGCCCCATAGACCAACCTACATATCTCTGACCCACATGCAGAAGGCCTAGATCAGTCCCATGCTGGCTCCCTAGATGTCCCTCCAGAGTGCGTGAGCTCCCACAATCTCAGATCAGCTGTCTCTGTGGGTTTCTCCATCATGATCTTGACCTCTCTTGCTCACATAATCCTTCCTCCATCTCTTCAACTAGACTCTTAGCTCTCAACCTAGTGGTTGGCTGCAGATTTTTGCATCTGCTTCTATTTTTTACTGTATGAAGGCTCTATGATGACAATTTGGGCAGTCACCAATCTTATTACAGGGGAAGACCAGTTCAGGCACCCTCTCCACTATTGCTAGGAGTCTTAGCTGGGGTCATCCTTGTGGGCTTCTGGAATTTTCCCTGATACCTGGTTTCTCCCTAACCATATAATAGACCCCTCTATCAAGATATCTATTTCAATACTCCCCACTCCATCTCACCCTCAACTGGACCACCCTGATCCTTCATGTTCCCACCCCCCATCCCTGCCCCTAGTTTGCCCAGGACATATCATCTATTTCCACTTTCTAGGGTGATTCATACATGTCTCTCTTAAGGTCCTCCTTGTTACCTAGTTTTTCTGATACTGTGGGTTGTAGCCTGTTATCCTTTGCTTTACAGCTAATATCCACTTTAAGTGAGTACATACCATGTTTGTCTTCCTGGGACTGGGTTCCCTCACTCAGGATGAATTTTTTCTAGTTTATTCGTTTGTCTGCAAATTTCATGGTCTCATTCCTTTCTTTTTCCTCTTGAAGCTCTTCTTCCCAAAAAGTACCTTGCTTTATTTATTTGTTTGTTGGTGTATTGCCTAGTGGGTTTAACTATATTTGCTTGCATGGGTATGAATGAAGAAATGTTTACTGGCAGCTTATCGATGGCTACACCACTGAAGAAAATGACACACCTGTTGATACATCTGGCCAGACAGGTTGGTATTCTAACATATAATGCCTACAGCTGCATGACACCACTGTTGGCATGTAGTTATGTGGATAACTAGCTTGTTTCTGAGTGAAAATGAGGTATGTTCCATAGTATGATTCTCATATCTGGCACAGTAAACCTCATAGAAAATTCATGAATGGAGAGCTCATAGGCCCTGGAGAGGCCTATTGTTGTTACCTAAATAGTCATGTTGTGGAAGTATTTTCAAAATATAAATGCCTATGACTGTATGTTTGTGTTGTTTCCCACTTTGAGCAGAGAAAGTTTTTTGAAGTGGGTAGTGGTTAATGAACAGACACATTGCTGTTTATGGGAGATAAGAAACTGGGAGTATTCAGTCACAGTTGGGACATCTGTACCACACCCCACCAAGGCTTAGGGAAAACATAGAAGAGTGGGAAGAAAGAATTTAAGAGCTGGCTAATGAGGAAGAGAACTGCGAAATGGTGAGTTCAGATCACGGCATGGATGTTGCACACATCAATTCACAACACTTATGATTACCTGCACACAATCTACATAATAATAACAAGCCCCTCAAAATTTCAGCATGAATTTGGGAGAGGATCCCAAGGCTCCACTCTTGGTAGAGGAGCTATTGATAGTGGGTGATTAGTGAAGGAGGGAGAGCCACTTTATTTTGGACACATGGCTGCTAGTAGGTGGCCCATGCCACTGCCCCACATACATATGAAAACACTAATGAACTTAGAAGATTATCAATAAAAAATATGATGATACTAAGTTGAGAGAAAGACAGAATGGAGAGAAATTGGTAGAGTTTGAGGAAGGTAATGATGCACGGCTGTGATCTTAATATAATGTATAAATGCATACAAATTTTAAAGAATAAATGAAGATGTAAGTTTCAATTCTGCCTGATCCTACAGCCATTCAGCCCAAAATAAACACACGGAGACTTATTATTAATTATAAATATTTGGCTGATAGCTCATGCTTTTTATTGGCTAGCTCTGTCATATTAACCCATTTCTATTAATCTATGTATTGCCACGAGACTGTTGCTTAATTGTAATCCAGCATATTACTCCTTCAGCAGCATGGCATCTCTTGGATGCCTCTCTCTCTCCTTCATCTCTCAAGCACCCTCCTGGTCTGGTAGCCCCGCTTATGCTTTCTGCCTGGCTACTGGCCAATCAGTGCTTTATTAATCAATTAATAAGAGAAACATATGTACAGAAGGACATCCCCCATCAAACAAATAAAGATATAATTTTAAAATGAAAATAATACTTTTCTCCCAGCATCCATAGTTTCCCAGTGACATGTGGGACTTGAGCCCCTCACTGCTTTATGTTGGAGCTTTGACTGGCTTGATACTTTTTAACAGTTAATATAGATTCTTTTTTTCTTACTTTTTATTTATATAAGTTTTATTTTAATTAGAAACAAGCTTGTTTTACATATCAATCACAGTTCATGCATACTTCTGTCCTCCCCACTTCCCTCAACTAACACCCATCCTATCACCTTTCTGCTCCCCAGGGAGGGTGAGGCCTTCGATGGGGGATCTTCAAAGCCTGACGGGGCCCAGGCCCTCCTCCATGAGTCTAGGCTGAGAGAGTATCCATCTATGTGGGATGGGCTCTCAAAGTCCATTTGTAATGTAGAGATACATACTGATCCACTACCAGAGGAGGCACCATAGACTGCCCAGTCCTCCCAAGTAACACCACTTTCAGGGAATCTGGGTTGGTCCTATTCTGGTTTCCTAGCTATCAGACTGGAGTCCATGAGCTCCCAATTGTTCAGGTCAGCAGTTTCTGTTGGTCTCTCCAGCTTGGTATTGACCCCTTTGTTCATCACTATTCCCTGTCTGCAACTGAATTCCAAGACTTTGGCTCAATGTTTAGCTGTGGGTGTCTGCTTCAGCTTTCATTGGCTACTTGGTAAAGGCTATAGAATGGCATATAAGTTACTCATCAAAGTCATTATCAGGAAATGGCATTTAAGGTAGCCTCTCCACTATTGCTTAGATTGTTAGATGGGGTCATCCTTGTAGGTCTCTGGATATTTCCCTACTGCCAGATTTCCCTTTAAACCTATGTTGCCTACCTCTATCATGTTATCTCTTTTCTTGTTCTCCTCTATTTTTACCTGACTAAATCTTCCTGCTCTCTCATGCCCACCTCTGCCCTCTTCTTCATCCTTACTCCCTCTCCCTTCCCCCCATGCTCCCAATTTGCTTGGGAGATCTTTTCCCTTTCTGCTTCTCCAGGAGACCATATATGTCTCTCTCACGGTCATCTTTGTTTCCCAGATTTTCTGGTGATGTGGATTGTAGGCTGGTGATCCTTTGCTCTATGTTTATAAACCATATATGAGTGAGTACATACTGTGTTTGTCTTTTTTGACTGGGTCACCTCACTCAGGATGGTTTCTTCAAGTTCCATCCATTTGCCTGTGAATTTCAAGATTCCATTGCCTTTACAGCTGAGTAGTACTCCATTGTGTAGATGTACCACATTTTCTCCATCCATTCTTCAGTTGAGGGGCATTTAGTTTGCTTCCAGGTTCTGGCTATTACAAATAATGCTGCTACGAACTTAGTTGAACAGACATCCTTGTTGTATGAATAGGCATCTTTTGGGTATATGACTAAGGATCTTGTGATAGACTGATTTCTAAAGTGGCCAGGAGTGGAGGAATGTGCCCCTTTCTCCACATCCTCTCTAATATAAACTGTCTTTGAAGTTTTTGATTTTAGCCATTCTGACAGTATTTATCCATAGGACTTTGGGAGCCCATTCCCTATGGAGGGTACTTTCTCAGTCTAGATACATGGAGGAGGGCCTAGGTCCTGCCTCAAATGATGTGACACTCTTTGATGATCCCCTATGGGAGGCTTCACCCTCCTTCAGGAGTGGATGGGAGTGAGATGGGGGATTGGTAGGGGAAATGGGAGGGCCTGAGGGAGAGAGAACTGATTGTTATATAAAATAAGATTGCTTTTAACTTAAATAAAAAAGAAGTTCAAAAGAACAAAATAAAGGAATTGTCATAGTATCTATATTCATTTATATAAAAAATATTTATTGAATTTACTCTTCACCTCCAGGAACATTTTACTGAAGCATAGGCAAGTTTGTCTTGCTAGGTATACTTATAGCACTATGAATTTTACTACTGTGTCTTCTATACCCAAAAGAATGCTTGCCCTATAGGAAAACC